CACATTTGGCTTCGCAGCTTCCCAGAACGTCTTGATCAGACTGCTCCTTAGCCACGCCTCCCATACTTCCCGGCTCTCGTACCTCGCATATATACGTGCCCCCTCTTCGTTATCAAGTGACTGCAGCCCCAAAAAGGTCTGGACTTTCCCATCCTGCCCCTCTGCATCATCTACCAAGCCGCACAGTAGTTTCAGCGCCCCCAGCAACTCGGTCCTTGCTGCCTTATCCTTGCATCGAATCTGGATATCGTGCATGACGCCGCACTCGTTCTTTTGCCTAGAGCGGTCGAGGAACCCGCCTACGGCTGAATAGTGTGTTAGGTCCAGACCCGTCGTCATGGTAGGGCCAGCATTGGGAAGGAAATGGCCCTGCATGACGTTGGACTTGAGATGGATATCGTAGAGATCTGAGCGGGAGCTGTAGATCTCGAAAGCGAGCATGGAGTCGGTGCGGGATGGATTGGCCGCATGCTCAAGGGGAATGCCAAAATAATAGGTGAGTGTGTTGGGTTCATGGGCGAAGACATGTTCTGCTAGTTTGTCGTATGCGGCTTGCCACTGCGACTTGAAGTTAGTATCTGATTCGCAAAGCAAAGGAAGATAGATGAATTGATGGGTTTAACGAACGTCATCGTAACGGTCTGGGACAATGTTGCAATTTCCGAAGAGGTAGAACCTCTCCGTGATGGGCAGTGATTGAGTCATTGGAGGTACTGGGAGACTGGGCAGTCGTGATCCTGATGAGTGAATCGGATCGTTTGTTTTGCTACAATTTTTCGAAGCTACGCCTGCTTATCTTGTATTTGAAGTCACGGTAGGATGAAACGACCCGTGAGCAACACTCTGAGTTTCAATAGCAACCATCGCCTGGTGTCATTGAACAGACACTCGGTCAACCATTTCCACGTCTTAGGCATTTGATATCCAGAACGAAAATCACCCCACTAGCGACCTTATTCTTTAGCTGCCTCTTTAGCAGCAGATTACCCATGGGGCGCCCGCGAGCAACGTGTTCCAGCTCCGCATGTCGGGGTTGAATGGGGCGATCATCTTATTACCGCCATGACAAACTCAGATAGGTTGAATGATGAATCAGTAGCTCCTATAGATGGGTGGCACACGAAGATTGGGAGGTCCGTGTGTTGGGGTGAACTGCTATAGAAGGAATTCGGTAGAGGTTTTCCGAGATGGCATTTCATCACGGGAACCTGGACCCTTGCATTGCGCTTGGCAGTCAGTCACGAATGCGTAACCTGTATGGTAGGGTTTCGAGGATAAACAGGCGAAGTATTGAACAGCACAGGTTTAAATTGTTATAGGATAAGCACTTTATTCACTCAGATTGAACTGGTAAGTGGTTGAAACAAGATATGGCATACTGAAGCCCACCCTTACAAGGCAGGGAGCTACTTTTCTTATGAAAAACTAATCCTAAATACAATAATAAGACAATCATAAATGATTCTATGATATTTAGGTTGGTTCTGTGTTTATTCTGGGTTGGTTATTCTGTTATTGTGTTGAAATATAATGCTGGAAGGTTTTGGGTGTGCCGTGTTTTATGCCAGTCGCTTGGATCGGTTGCAAGAAGATCTGGACGTCAAGTTTATGCGTGGACGAGCGAACATGACGAGCTTGAGATCTGTGCTACGAGTTCGGATGACCGGTGGATGGAATTTGTGTATTTTTGATAATACCTAATTATATTAAGTGATAAGGGGTATATCCTAGGAATGTTCAATCAAAAATCACACCCAAGCCATCTAAAGCATGGATTCTCCCGTCATAGTTGTTACTCAAGATCAATGGTACTTGTTCTTGTCCGCATTTGTATCGTTCTCCAAGAAAATCTCAATCTTGTCGTTCATCTTGTGCTCGATATCCTGGCAGAATAAACAAGCTGCCACAAAGAGTTAGAGGCAATACATAGTCATGTTCGTTCATCAACGTGTGAGGTCAATACATACCAATAATTCCAATCACTCCGAAGGAGAGTGAGGACAGACATGTCGTACGAAGGCCAACAACGTAGCTCTGCTTGAAAGCCCCAGCCGCGGCAGCAATGATATCGTTTGTGATGCCCGGAACCTCGGCGAGGGCAGCCGACCCGAGGGGGAGAGCGGCAAGGAGGCCTTGGACAGAAGTCTCGGGGAGGCCAGCGGCAATAGCCACTGGAGGAATAAGCTTGGCAGCCTCTTTTGTCTGGACGTTGGTCAAAATGGTTTGGTAAATTGAGATGGCGACGGATCCGCCGGCAAAGCGAGCCACGCCTCTGTAGAGCTTGTTAGGTTTTGAGTGAGTGGGAAAAGGATGGGAAGTGGACTAACGCAAGACCGCCAGAGATGCCCAGCTCGACCTGGTCAGTGCCAAACTGGATGTACGCAATGCTGAGATACTGCGCCCAGCCGAAACCAATCTCGGAAAGGAAGATGAAAGCAATGACCATGCCGAATCTGTCTGGAGTGGCTAATGCCAAGAGGGCACCGAAGACGACCATGATGGTGACAGAGCCCGTAAGAGTCCATCGCCAGCGACCGATCATCGATCCAAAGCAGGTGAGAAGGACGGCCCCAAAGGTCAGGCCGAGGTTCTGAGGAAGCGTCAGAACAGCTGCATAGCGGAAGTCGGTGGTTTCGTCTGTGAAAAAGACAGCGATCATGGTCGGGTAGACGACATTCAAGCAATAATAGAACATGGTCACTATCCATGTTTTGTGTCAGACTGAAAGAATAAAAATAATCAACGAATTGTGTTAGAAACATACCGACAAAACCAACAACAAAAGGGGCGGTGAGCTCTCTTCCATTGTCGCGAGTGAAGATTCGAGTGGGTGTCAAGGGCTGCTTGAGAGGGGCGAAAGTCTCCCATAGAGCAAAAGCAAGTAGACAACCAAAGCCTGAACACAGAGTTCCAATAACTGTAGGGTCCGATGAAGCCAGAGTCGTGGTGTAGACGATACCGGTAAGAATAAGCGTCGTGGCCAATGTGAAGAGAACGACCCCGACATAGTCGAGTTCGCGGAGTGCTTGGCAGGTTGGCAAGCCGCGGGGATGCTTTGGAGGATAATAGTAGAGGTAAAGTCCAGCAAAAGAGAAGACGACGGCAATTGCCGGACCATAGAAAAGCCATCTCCACTGATATCAGGTTGTCAGTAGGAATTGAGTAGAGAGACAAACGATCGAGTGAAGTAGTGGAAGTAAGACGAACCTGATCGCCATGTTGGATAGCGAATCTGCCCGCGACAGGCCCAACAATAACGGCAAAATACACACCGACATCTTAACCAACAGAGAAAGATTAATGGCTTGGAACATGCACTGTGAGCTGTATTATTTACCTGCTAAAACGATGGCCGAGTGTCGCCATTTGTTTGGCAATAGCTCTGGCAGTGCAAATGCTGCCAGCTGGGCGTTTCCAGCTCCCTGCCAAATGGTGAGCACTAGGATTCTTAATGAGATATACGAATCTATAGAGATTACTTACGAATCCAATAAATGCTTGGGCGACAATTAGCGAGGTATTGTTCTTGGCCGTTCCTCCTACGATGAAGCCGATGAAGAGAAGCACGTTTCCACCAATGATGAACCATCGGCGACCAAACAGATCAGAATTGGCACCACAAATCCTATCATCCAGTTGTTAGTCAGAGAAGGGCGATGGGATATTCTTCTTGCAAACACTCGACTCGCTCCATACTTACATAAAGGCCAAAGTGACAGTCATGGTGTAGATGGGCACATACCATGCCTGCTTGGTGGCATCACCCAGTTGAGTTGCTACACCAGCTTGGCACGCACTGAGCGCGGGCACGATCCAAAAGGAGATGCCATACGAGCACGCAAGGATCTAAATAGAAACAGTGTCAATGGCATGAACCTCACTGAGAACCGTGCATCTGTCTAGGTGGGAGCAAACTCACCGAGACGACGATCCACGTCTTAAATGTGACCTGGTATTCTTCATCACTCTGTGGAATATACGAGGCCTCCTTCTCTGGTGCATGCTCAGCGTGAACTGGAGAAGCTGGCTGGACCTTCTCGACGTCAGTCGATACCTTTTCGCCCTCGGCGACCGACATGGCGAGATGAATCGCGCTTGCAGATGATTCCGTATATTTCGCTTTTAGGAATTGGCACCTCGGATTGTGAGGATGCTTATTGCGCATGCGCGCGAAAGAGAAGGCAGGGATATCCTTCTATTTAATTATTCAAGGCGAGTGCGGTGATAGACTAACCAATACCGCAAAGCCCATTCTATATGGACCCTGACAGAATGCAGATTCCTAACAAAGAACACAAGCCATCTCATAAAATACAGCCCAGGATCACAAGTATCCAAGCTCATTCGACGTTGGAGCCCAAGTTAGACCCACCCCTCGGAAAACGTAGTCCTGGCTGCTTTGAAGCTGGCTTGGATCTGCTTTGATCGACGTACGAGAGGGCGAGTGAGCTTGGACAATCAATGGCACTAATGACTCGTAGTTGATGTCTATCTTACGGCACATGATTTGGTGTAGGTGCAATGAATCCTATTCAGCGAGATCAGATGACGGAGATCTGAATGGCAAGGGTTGAAGGCCAGGGTTGCAGCCTTGGGGGGAAAAACGACTCCGAGATGGGATGAGAACCCTGCATCACAGGCTGAACTTTGCTTTACAACTGAGATCTGGAGTTGCACATCCCCGCATTCCGATGAGGTGGGACACTCTCGCCCGGGGCACAAGCAAGCGGAGAGGTGTAATTCATAGAAATTGCCGAATGTTCTTACCGAGAGCCTCCTCTGTTCCCATCGGAACGGGCCTGACCCTCCGAGGGCTGTCAACAGCGTAGATCTCGCGGGGAGAATGATAGCCCTACCGCGAGTTTATGTAGGAATATGGGGAGAATCAAGGTATTTACATACTGGTCAAGGTGTCCGGCCTTGGGCTCCGCATATCATTGCTACAACAATAAACCGTTCCAGAAGGAAACAGCCCTAAATATCTGAACAACAATAGAAAGATGATCTCAAAGCCGGTAGCTATAGTCACTGGCGCTTCGGTAAGTTGGACATGGCTTGGACCAGGCTTGCGGGCGTGGAACGGAGAGACTTACACAATAATCTAGTCGGGGATGGGAGAAGCCCTGGCTGAAGACCTGGCTAGTCAAGGATGGCAAGTCGCCATGGCCGACATCAAAGAAAATCCGCAGATCAGCTCCAGGCTCGGCGAGAACGCCAGCTACCACTATTGCAACGTTGCCGATTATGACAGCCAGGCCCAGTGCTTCCAATCGGTCTGGGACAAGTATGGCCGTCTGGACGCATTGTGTGCCAATGCAGGCATAGTAGACAAGAGGTAATTAGGGACCAAACCGGTTGATCGATGAGATGCTGACTGGAAGGCAGCTCCATCTTCATATTCGATCACCGGGGCTCAGATGTGTGAGTGTCTGGTCCCTTGTCGCTTCCCAGGAGGAGAAAGGGAGTTTGATCTGACGCTCCCAGAAAGAATCCCACCGAAGCCCGACCTCCTCTGCACCGATGTCGACTACAAAGGGGTTGTATATGGAACACAGCTAGCGATTCATTTTATGCGCAAAAATTCGACTCCGGGCGGTAGCATTGTGGTGACAGCCAGTGCAGCGGCTGTAACGCCTCATGAGACATACCCCGAATATGACGGAGCAAAGGCAGCTGTACGTGCCTCTTTTGTATACATGGGAGATTTGCCAGTGACGGAAACCTGACGAGTGTCAAGAGCCCTGGTTAACACAACCATCTAGGTCATGAACTTTGTGCGGGCAACGTCACGTATTCTCAGCCTTGTAAGTGACCAAAGAAGCGGGAATTAAAGAATATCCTGGCATTAGAAGGTTCTCTAATCAAGTTTCTGTAATAGAAGGAAAATATTCGCATCAATTGCGTACTCCCGGGTATAGTAGCGACCAAGATCATCCCTCCCGAGATGGTAGCGGCTGTCTCTTCAGAATGGTGAGCCCCGTGTTTTGACTCTTTTCATATCCGTTACGTAGCTGACAACCGTATGAAATTTGCCCTCGATCAGCCTAACACCAGTATCGACCATTGTGGCTGCGTATAGGAAGTGCTTGGAGGACAAGACCTTGGCTGGGGAAGCGCTGGAGTGCTCGGCCGACAAGATATTGCCAGTACCCAAGCCAGCGCTTCAGAACGGGCGAATCTCAGCTAGAGCTGTGACGGTCTGGGATCCTTTATTCAAGACATACCATAACGAGCCGTCAGGCCTCCCGGATGCCATCGCCTAGACTGATGGCGACCGGGCGGGAGCAAACGGTCAAACGGTAGGGCAGTCAGTCACACAATAATGCTTCCTATTGTATAATAGTAAGTCAATAAATTGCCTATTGATTGCTCAATAATTTATTATTGTTATAATTATTAACTATTATCTATCAATACCGTGGCCTGCTTTGGAAAGTTACATAGGTTAAAACATCTTTGTAGTTGTGATATCTATCAAGAATGCAAACGCCGATTCGGTGCCGAAGGCCAGGATGAGCAACCCACTCGGCAACGCGTCCGGCGGATCAATGTATGATGGCAGGGGTCGGTGATGTCAGGTTTAGCTATGTAATATCCCGGTAGTGAGAGATACGGCCAATTGAGTCACCGGCATAAATGACTGTATGCCGTGGAAGCGCTGTAAGACGCCCACCCTGGGCGAAACCACCAATTGGGGCTCCTCACGCATTAGTTTTGGTGCTGTTTCTTTAACTACGGCTAAATCCGAAGGGGCTCCTGGACACTCTCATTCCAACTGATCATGACATGCTATATATCTCCCACATTTCATGTCGTGTTGTCGTCTTCCCTCTCGCCACAGACGGAATCCCATCATCTTCCTATGTAAAACCAATTAACCGACAGCCAAGTCGCGCATTGCACCCACCACGGGCCAACCAAGCCAGTACCTTGCGACCATGTCCTGTCCCGATTGCTTCCGTGGAGGAATCGCCGAGTCGAAGCCCACAGGCTCCGAAGAGGTCATCCACGGTCGATCCACCTATGTTGCCAAGCCGGAGCCGGGGGTCACTCCCAAGGGCCTCATCGTCTTCATAACGGATGCCTTTGGCTGGAAGTTTGTCAACAACAGAGTCTTGTCTGACTGCTACGCCAAGGCCGGGTTTCTCGTCTACTGCCCGGATTTCATGGATGGTACTGCCGCTCCCGATCACTCCCTTCCCTCATGAGGCTAACCAATCGACACAGGCTTCGAGTTAGACCCCCAGGCTCTTGGTTATTTCGAAAAGATCATGGAGCCAAAGACTTGGAGTGAGAGTCTCTGCAAGCCTTACTATATCTTTCATGCCCTGAGACTGGCTCTCCCATTCAGGACCAAGGCTTCGATCCCCATCACCCACCCTCGCGTCATCTCCTTCCTTCAGGATATTCGCCGCGCCGAGGCACCGTTTCCTACTGAGAACCTCAAGGTCGGCGTGGCTGGGTTCTGTTGGGGAGCCAAGCACGGCGTCCTTCTAGCCCACGACAAGGCCGAGTCGCGTGTCCAGCGACACACATCGCAGAAGAGCAGCGGCCAGTCCGAGCCCCAGCCTTTGATCGATGCCTTCTTCGCAGCCCACCCGTCGTACTTTGAGGTCCCTCAGGACATTGACGCCATCGTGGTGCCGACAAGCATCGCTGTCGGGGATGCCGACATGGCCATGAAGGGACCGGTCGCGCAGCAGGCCAAGAAGGCGCTCGAGGCCAAGTCGGATGCCGGCCAGCATGAGTTCGTCATCATGCCGGGCGCGAAGCACGGGTTTGCTATCCGGACGAAGCCGGATGATCCCCATCAGCAGGAGTGTGCCGACAAGGCTGAGGCGCAGGCTGTTGCGTGGTTTACAAAATGGTTGTCTTGAGCCGTGTCCTAGCGGGGTTTTCTGTATTTTAGTTCTTAGTTAAATGATACCTGTGACTCTAGGCGCACTGAAAGGTGGCCGGCAGTGTTCACCAGCACAATATCGAAACCACATTGTTAACGGATGATGATATGATGACAGATGAATCGAAGAGTTGAGCTTCTCTACAAAGGCTCGTTGATGCTGTAGGTGATGTGCATTCACTTCCTCACTGTATCCGCTATAGGTGGGTTTAGTCCGGGCCTGAACCCCCCCGGAATGAACCCACCCACAGCACCATTGAAAGCCTCCAGCGGCCCATGTCCTCTGTACTGGCCAAGTTCTCAGTTGAACGCTCTCCGGTTGATCCATCCCCAGCACATTTCCCTCCGCAGCGTCTCACTCACCAACAACCAGCCGAGGAACATCTGTCAATGTCTGTTTCTACCCATGACCACGTCACTGCAGAGAGATCTGGCATGTGCCGTTTGCGGCAAGCAGTACCAGCGAGTCAGCCATCTGCGACGCCATGAGGCAATCCGTGAGTGGCACACCAAGCCCTGCTAAACGCTGACTCTCCCCCTCCACCTAGATGCATGCCTACACACAATATCATTGGTTCTTACCTATTCACGCAATCGCTCATCATGGGGTCTAGATAAAGATGTAACGGATTTCAAGTGCCCTGCTTGCCATAAGTCATTTGGTCGCCAGTATGGCTGCCCCTTCAGCACATGTGTAGCCAGCCCTCACTAACTCGATGTAGGGATGTATGTCGTAAGCACTTCCTGGCCTGTCCTCTGAGAAACGGCGATGAGAAGCTGCCTCAACTCCGTCGCGGACAAAAGAGACGTGCCTGTGATGCCTGCTTTCAAGGTCGATTGGGCTGTGACGGCAAGTCACCTTGCGGACGCTGTTCCTCACGTCAACATGCCTGCACATATGTCAGACTCGAACAAGTCTCTCCCTCTCTCACCGGCCTTGATGACGCACATAATGAGACTCCGGAAAATAGACTGGACGGAGCCCTATCAGCCACAGAAGCCTCGGCTACGAGCTCCCCCCCCTCAGCTGAGGATGCCGATCTGATTCCCTGGTTCCTACTCACCGTCACCAGCCCAGGCGCAAGAAGTCTTGTTGATCTCTTTTTCTCAAGCCAAGACCGCTGTGAGAAGAATTCTAAGGATATAAATATTCGAGGAACCACAATAGAACCTCCAACGCCTTTCCAGGATCCCTTTCTCGGCATGCTAAGACAGAGGGAAAGCCTCGCCGATGACAGCTGGGCACCCTTCTTCGATACCCTTCCTGACGCCAGCAATGACTTAGAAAAACTCAAGGGGTGTTTTGATATCATCATCGACAATCTTAGAAACCTTCACACGGCGCTCTCATCGTGCACTGATGGACCCCGGTACTACTTCCAATTGGAACAGGCCAAGCAAGTGTTTGTTCCCGAGAACGTGTCCTTCATCCACCAGTTCTTCCGCTTCTCGCACCCAGAGGTCCCAATTGTGCACCGTCCATCTTTTAACCCACACGAAGTCCATCCTGTGCTCCTCATGGCCGTATTTCTCTGCGGGTCGATGCATGCCGCACCGAGCGATGCAGCTCTATCTACGCCACTTCTCTTCGATTTGGCTGAAGAGTACGCTTTCAACACTCTACGCGGGCTTGTGGATGAATATGTCAACCACGGTGTCATGGAGGCCGATTCCATAGCCGACCTCGCTCGTTTGAATCAGGTTCTTCAGGGCGCTCTGCTAATGCATGGCTTACAATTTATCATGAACGAGCCGCAGAGGCGAGAGAGAAATAGGGACCGTAGGCTTCCTGTGCTTGTTTCCACCATCCGCAAGCTAGGTTTCTCGAATGCAAGGCATAGTCGTATCCCAGATGGAGAACCGGTAGACTGGGACGAGTTCATCCTCAAGGAAACTCAAATCAGGTTCGTATATCACCCGCAGACGCTCACTTTGAACTGCCTTCTCCGCAAGCAAACATTGATATGAGGTATTCTGCTGACCATGAGCCTTTGCTTTACATCAGACTAGGTATTTGGGTCTTTTTGTCTGCTGCGCAGCAGTCAATCTTATTCAACATGCCGCCTTCCATGAGTATCTCTGAAATAACAGGAGACTTTCAATGCTTTGAAGATGTGTGGGAGGCTAAGAGCGCCGGCCATTTCCGAGCACTGATTGATCAAGGTCGAGGCAAACGCACCGCGTCGCTCTGGCAGTGTCACCAGTCCTTGATAGACCCAACCTGGACATCCCCAGAGAACTTCCCGCTACGCTCACTAACAACACCGGACATGATCGTTTTAGTCCTAGGCAAGTCTCCTTCTCTCCGTCCGATAACTCAGTATACTCATATAATTCCACAGCCTTCAGCACAACCGTGACATCGGCAAGGTTGTCGGGGACGCTCCCAATATGTGCCTCAGCATTGGAACAAGCGCTTGACCGATGCCATCAGCTGTGGGGTGGGATCGTGGGTGGGAAGGATCCGGCGACACTGAGCGAGAATCTTTACTCGCGACACTTTGTCGAGGCAAAATGGTTCCTGCGCAAAGTCATAAAGACATCTATCACTGGCGATGATCCATCGGGTTATCTTGGCGAGGTAGGGCACATGTCTACTACGGAGTTGCACGAGTTTCTCAAACTTTCATTGAGATGATCTCTCAAGACTCGCACTCGCGGTTGGGCCACGACGGAATGACACAAGTTCTTCCACCCGACCACCCACATACATATCCAACGCACTCTGCCCTCTAATCTCAGCAAGATAATAATATTAACATAGATATATTCAGACACGCAAGATACTGCGCCGTCATCATAATTTCACCAGTTGTTGCCAAGACGCGGCGCTACATGAGCTTGAATTTATGTGTGTCTATCGGAGTCTTCTTCCCACGTAGTAACCATCGTGCACCTCTATGACTATGCCACAATCTACGATAAATCCACAACTCTCACAGCCAGTGCCTCTCCTCCAGTGCCGCCCACTTCTTTGCCGTTGCCAGCAATGATACCTAACCGCATGCAATCATTGCATGCAAGTTTCTGTTTCGCCAAGCCCCGAGGAAATTGATACCGCGCGCCAGCGAGGGAAATCGTTGGCCATTGTTCTAAACTCGTTACGCAATCCAGGCTACACACCGTCACTGAGGGACTCATATGGGGACTCTTGGTGCTGACTTCTCTGCCACTGCGTCTCGTCTTTAACAGCCTAAACACAACGCCTACCTCTCGATGGCTCGATCTCTCGTGCGGCAGTTATGGCTCTGTGTCCTTTATCTGACGCTGAACCATCACTGTTCTGGTATATGTCGCTGCTCTGGGCACGATCATTGGCCTTCTTGCCCAGGGCATCCAAGCCGACGCCTGTGAAGCCAGTATTGAAATTCGCGACCTGTGGCACCGCGGTTTTGGCACCATCAATACTATCTCTCGGATTGGCAAGGCGCGTGGTGGCAAACGAGTACTGGAGACAGCCGACCCTCAACACGGTCGTTCTCTCCAACACAATTAAGCTCCTACCCTGAATCCTCTACTACTCCTCCAACGCCCTCTTCACTACTATGGAGTATAGAACTTGTGCCGTATGATGGTTCAGGCACAGCAGATCATGGGGCGAGAGCGCATTATTTGGCCTTTACGAGTGGGGAGACACGGGGGCCGGTGTAGAGCGAGGTATATTCATGAACAATGTGTGTTGATCGTTGACATGTCAATACTTAGCGGTTCAAGTGATTAAGTCCGGTAATCAGGCATTGGGGAGCTGACTAGAGGACTGGAAACGAAATTCACTACGAACTTCCTCTTTGGCTATGTGATATTTGAAGGGCGCATCCAAAAATCAACATTCGTCCATCTGGAACGATCTCAACGTTCTGCAAGGGGAGCGCCGATCGCGGGCATGTCTTGGGGCTACGCGAAACAGTTTCAGAGATGACGAAGAAGCAAGGGCAAAACTAGTGCCATCATCAAGACAGCAGAGATTCGGCAGGCAGATACTAAGAGGCAAGTGAGTGAAGGAGAAATGAGACACCTCATGGAAGATTGGTGATTTAAACAGGCTTCTTTCTACCGACGATAAGCAGAGAAGGTTAGTATAAAATGAAAGAAAAAGAATAATATATGCCATATTATCTCTGAACTATGTGTTATTGGCCCTTAATAATCTGATAATATTGACTGCAGACTCAAAAAAAAAAAAAAAGCAGCTTAATGTTTGAGTGTCTCGTTTCAATATCACGGGTAGCCGACTGGTTGCCAGGCCGATGCCTAAGATTTGATCCGCAATATGCCATGTTCTCAAACTACATAAACAGACGGAAGTCTCCACGTGGCATCATATCTCATCTTGCATGGCAAGTAGCGAAATGTGCTGATAATTGCCGGATCGCCCTCGTATGGATAGTGTGGGGAGGTATGATCAAGAACTTCGCATTTAGTCACTGCCTGCCGGGACATGGCTGTAAATATTTGCCCGACCAGTAATTTAACATTAAGCCAATAAGTCACATTGATTAGAGCCTAATTTACTGCTCTTCTTTTGCATGAGGATGCCTGGCTGCTGCAATTGAACAACCAAATTGCCGGCCGGGCGCGATAGCCTCACCCACCCAGCTTCAATGGCTTGAATATAAACAAACAATCACAGCCACCTACAGACCTGAACAAATAATCTGATTGAAAGGTTCTTTTGAAACGGGAAGGGGAACTGAAAATTTCAGAGGGGAAAACAGGAGAATAGGGAACAAAGTCTCGCCTGGTATTACGGTTTCTTTTTCCCAAGGTCCGGACTGTCACTTCCTAATGGTAAATTGAATACGGTCTAAGCGCCTATCATGTCTTAGATTAAGAAAAGTAATAAACCATTGTAGAAGAAGAATCTATGTGAGACACCTAGCGAGGCCGGTCAATTGATCTGGCCTTCTTCAAGAGTTTGGCGGATGTGGTCTGCACCCCGCACCCATCCACGTTGACGGGATAACTGATGGCTCATACATTTAATACCTTTCCCCCCATTTCCCTTCCTTCAGCTCGCATGTCCAATCAATGAATCATCGAACGCGATGGCGACGAGCGAAAATGTGACCGTCTACAACCTTCTTCCGAGTCCACCCAAGTGGGACAAAGTCAGCATTTTCTTCGTCTCCCTCTGCGGCACCTGGAGCACTCTCGTTTTTGCGGGAATGCTATTTTGCTGGTTCAATAGTCGAAGTCCTGTGCTGAGAGCTCGCGGGCTTCCTATCTCTTTCTCCGCCATTCTTTTGCTGCATACCTACTGGATTCTCGCTCAACTCATTTACCCCTTTGGAAGGACACTCCCGATTCTTGCCACGTATGACATCCAGTACTTCTTCATGAGCATCTGGTTCCCTCTTGGCATCGCTTTGTTACACGCTTCAAACAGTCGCTTCATCTATATTGGCAAGCTGCAGAGGCAATTCGCCAGTCAACCTCTGGTTCGGGTGAAGTGCAATGGCGGTGGTTCTTCAGTGCTCTGCCGGTTTAGAAACTTGGACTACACAGGCAAACTGATGATCCTAACTAGTGTTGGAATGATCTTGCAGGTATGCTTTATCTCTCCGGCTGATTGAGGTCAATGAATGCATTGCTGAATCCAAGGATGGGAGCAGGTCGTGCTCGCTATCGGCATGTGGGTGGCTTGTCGCAAGTATCACCCTGCCTATGGAATCCCAGGGACAGAGATCCACGGCGACAACCTTTCAGAGCAGATAATCAACTTAGGGAGGGGGTTAGAATGGTGGCCATCAGTTCTATGGCAGGTTCTTTTGGCCTGGATGGTACGTATAATAGTCCTCGCTAGTTGTTTATGCTGACATCCCCTAAAGGTAGCACCCATTCTGACCTGGCGGGCTTGGGGAATCCATGATACTATGGGTTGGCGCACCCAGACTATTGGTTGCTGTATCTCCAAGTACGATGCCTTGACTCTTCGCATGGTGACTGGATTATATTGACATGGATTCTTAGCCTCCATGCGACGCCCATGTTCCTAATTGCGCAGTATGTTCCAGCGTTCGAGTCTATCAATGATTACTTCCACCCGATCCAGTGGTAAGTCATAGCTAGCTGTTTCACCTAAAGTTTGGTAAACTTGCGGTAGGCTAACTAGCGAGAGTGGAGGATTAATCTGTCCATCATGATGTTTGAAATATCCACAGTCTTCATCCCCGTTTTCCAAGTCATCAAACTACAGATGCAATGTCGCAAGGCGGCTGCGTCCCACGCGAGGTGGGAAACATCCTTCCAGGCCACCGCTATGGGGTTATCCCACCTTTTCAGCCAAGTGCGCAAGGAATCAGCGATGTCAATGGAAGCAGGTCCTATCATGGATCATCTACTCAGCGAAGAGATGAGCGATCAGGTAAGCACCATGGGTGCGCTCGAGTTCGTGTTGAGAGCAAACCCAAGCCCCCTCCAGGACTTCGCTGCGCTCAACGACTTCTCTGGGGAGAACATCGTCTTCCTCAGCCGAGTCGCCAGTTGGAAGTCAGCTTACTCCGATGCCATCCAGGGACCGCGGGAGCTGGAGGCTTACAACGCCGCGCTGCAGATATACACCGACTTCATAAGCCCTCGTTCTGCAGAATTTCCTCTGAATTTGTCGGCGACACAGCTCAAGTGTTTGGAGGAAATCTTCGAGGAGCCTGCGCGTTCGCTGAGTGAGGGGGCAAACATGGACTCCGCCACGCGCTTCGACATTGAGCAACCAGAATCGGTTTCTTCACTGCCAAGGTCAAACTTGGGGCAGAGCAGCGGCGCGCAAGAGGCGAGGGCGAGGTACATGGGGGAGCTCCCACGCGGGTTCAGCAACTCCGTCTTTGACACCACCCACAGCAATGTCCTGTATCAGGTTCTGACCAACACGTGGCCTAGGTTCATAGAGGAGATGAAAGAGCGGAAGAGAGTGTCAGGCCAGACGGACTACGCCGAGTCGAGTGCCTCGTCACGGTCACTCATCGGGCGTATCCCAAGTCTTTTTCGCACCACCTCCCGAGGTTAATGGTTTCAATCGCGTTTAAATCGCCTTCGATTAAACTTATTTTTAGATACCCTTCACATTAATAGTAATGATTGCTGGAATGTTCCCAACATGTTGATAAACCCCCTGGTGATTAAGCTACCCTAGATGTGCTAATGGCGATGCTGCGATGCAACTGCGACAACTAGACGGTATGGGAAGGATTTCAGGATGTACATGGTTACGAGTGAATGTATTGGATACAACAGAGCTACGTACCATGAACTTGAGGCAAAATCCCGCGACTTGTTGGGGATATCGGGTGGTCTCAACATACTGAACGAGCTTTGATCCTCATTACACGCCCCCCACGTTTACTTCACCAGGAATGAGGTGTCCGGAGTGAACTAGATTAGCAATGATGGGTAATTTTACAAACGTCACACTGTTACAGTTTCCCTTCCCATACCATAAGCCCAAGCTGGATTTGTAATGGAGAGGGACGGTCTAGATTCCGACCTGCATGTGGTGATGATGGTGGCTGATGCAACAGGGAAGGATGAGAGGGCGCAGACAAGAAAAAAAAATTCAAGAGAGGCGAGTAAAGCTCTCCTGCAGCGGTGATGACGTACGACATGGCGCGACTCTGGCAGGTAGGCAGACAGACAGGAGCGAGATGAGTTGGCTGTTGGTTCGCGGACCATTACCACCACGGCGGCTCCATGCGCCTCGCCAGCATTCAATCGATGCAACCCAGGATTGATTGGGAAAAACGTCGCAGCGACAGAGCCACGTATGCCCGCCCTCAAAACTCGCCGTCGTTTATGCGGCTTTCTTGCGTAATACCAGACGGGAGGATCATCACATGCGTGCGTGAGAGGAATCAATGCTCGTCGAAACGGGACTGGGAGGTCTGGTTTGTCGACGGTTTCACCGGTTGGGCAGCGTCAGTCATTACGGGCGCTTGCAGCCTCGCGGTCTACGGAGCTGAGCCTGATACTCAACTGATGCCCGCGAAACTCTGGTGAAAATACTTTTTAGGGGGCAGTGCTCGACTTGGAAACCAAGATGAAACGCAGGGTGAGATGAGAAAACCGGTTGGGCACAACAGGAGGAGCATCAGCCGCAGATACGATACAGTTACAAACACATTTGCCACTGGCTCAGACCTGCAAAGGTTCACGTTTAGGTAGGCGCAGGTACTGCAGAGCCCTCGTTCAGCCGCTCGCCCAAGATGTACCTACGATGTGCGCTGTTTGGTTGCGAGGTCGGAAACGGGTGTGGAGGGGCGGCGGGCGAGGCACCCTGACTGATGGTGGCCGTTGCGTACGCATGTTCTTGGCAGGGCCTGATTATCAAGCGGCAGAGCAGCAGATGGGCGCTCAGCTGGGCAAGGGCAAAAGCTGGCTGGATCAGAAGAGGTTTGTTTGTTGGTTGGGTGGAGTCTTGACGTAGAAAAAATGGTTGGCGATGCTGGACGCGTCGGCGTGCTTAATTTGGAAATACTGGACGGGCTGTTGGTTGGACGTGTTTTCCAAACGGGAAGGGCATGCATCACGTAGTTCCAGGTTTGCAAAAAGAGGAAAGAGCTGTTGGTTGCAAAAAGGAACCCGGCGAAATATAGAGGTTTTCAAAGAAGACTGGACTTGGGCTTGGTGCCAGGCTATTGGGCCTTGGCCGCATCTCCAGAGGCCTCGAGATCGAGTCGCGCGCTACATAAAACACAAGTTTAGCGGACGGCGGCTGATTGACTGGCGCAGAGAACACCGGCAGTAAATGCGGCCCGCACTGCGACCGGAGAATAGGGGAGGCAAATACTCAATTCTGGATGCTAAAAAAAAGAGAGGGTTGTAGATAGTAACAGAGGGTGTAATTGAGGCTCACTCTCGATGCAATTTCCTTTTTTTTCGCCATCGTCAGCAAGAAGCGTCACCACGCATGTGCAGTCGAGTAAATCAAGACCGCACCGCCACGAGCCCCGTGTGGCGCGTGAGGCCTCTTTCCCATGGCACTTTCCCATGGCCAGGGGGGTAAATCTGCCTAATTCCGTAGGGCTGACTGCGGTTCTAGCCACACCTCGATTAGATAATACAGTGCGGACAGACTGATCAATACTGCCGGTGGCCCTACTAATAGAATTGCCATACATAGCATCACTAGCCTGTAGCAGGTTTCTGTTGGCCGAACCCCCTGTTGACAAATCCCGACCTCGCAAGATTGGTAAGTAAATTCAGTCAAGTGAGCTTTGGAAAATTTCTCATCAGGCTGGCGTGTCTGTAAATCATTCAATACTGCCATCCGAGTTGAGAAATCAGAATCGAGCATGAGAATGGTGAAGTGGAAAAAGCCCCCACACATACATAGTACGTACGGTACCAGGTAGATGCAGTGGGACCACCTTCCTTATGTGACTGCCTGCTCATCAACCAAAACTAAACTCTACCTATGGACCGGCCCTTGGGAGTTTTGCCAATACTCTGGAGCCTGCGACAACCTTGTGGTGATGATGGCCACGAGCCAATGGAGGTGCCCCAGTGGGGATGCACCCAGTTCCGATTGCGGATGCTTCTGGCTGGGCTGACCATCCCTGGTACCTGTCTTGTCGTCGTGCCGTCCCTCTGCCCGCGCCCGACTGGGCAATTCTTCCAGATCGTACATATGCACATACATACAGGTACGTGCGTGGTGCATTGTTGTGTGCCCCGCTGTTCTACGTACCACCAGAATTGAGCTGAGGGCTAATTAGCTTTCTGACATGCTCGGGTCCTTCGCAGGCAGCAGCACGTTGAGGGTCCTTTGTTGCGGGTTGAGCACGTTGTATCGGGGATGTGATAGTGAATGAAGTGGCGAAACGGCAGGACGAACTAAGCGTCAGAATCGTTTCCTTACTAGCTTAGCACCTGGATGCCTGCAAGTCACGATCACTTCGATTTCGGATCGTCTAGGTAGGCTCAGTGGGTCGGTTCATGGGAGACACCAGGCGGCCACTTATCGCACTGCTTCGGTCTCTGAGGCAAACAAGGCCAGAGAAAAGGGCTGAGTCTGAGTGGTTCAAACGGGGCCGGTAGCTGGAAAACCCATGACGTACAGGGAGGGCCCCTTCGTTGAAAGGGCGCGCGGGAGTAGCCATTGCGCACAGCCCCAGAACTACTTATGATACCAGAACTGGCAATTGTACATTTGTGGCGGCCCTAGTCGCCGTTGCATTGGTCACGTAGACGCACACCAGCCACTTTTCGGTGGGCTTCCCATGGAGAAGCGCGGCAAAAGCCAGGCCTGTGCTCAATGGAGGGGCCAAGGGGCCTTTGATGATGGACCGGATCCAGCATCCACTTTCTGGGCAGGATCCCCACAAACTTCCAGGCAGCACAGCCCACCCTTCCCTGTGAAGTTACCACCTGGATGATGGCCCAAAACCACCGATTGGCAAATGGTAGGCATCAATGTCCGTTCCTTGCACCTTTGGCCCGATTATTGGTCAATGAGAAGAGCAAGGGACAGGAAGATAATCATTCAGACATGGCGCCATACCCTCAGCTGTAAAGAGGGTGCATGAGACCCCCGCATGGCATCGGACCAAAGCCGTTATCGATTGGCCGCGGTATGACTGTTTTCCGGATATGCAGGCCAGATGAGTCAACAGAGATCTCATGATGTGGATGTTCGCGGACGGTTTGCGATGGTCCTGCCTTAGTCCTGTCCTAGTCCTGGACTCATCCGTGCCTTGATTTCCCAATGGCCCTCCGCGTAGGACTCGAAATGGCAATTTTGCTCTGGTGGTCCCCAGGCCAAAGTCAAGGACTTGGAGACCCTTGTACAGTGCGCTTACTCGGATCCTCCGCACTGTTTTCCGGTCGTCAGCCACACTTTGCTGGGGGAGTTTTCAGTGTGGTGGCCGCGGCAGAAGAGGCCGGTTTGAACAAGCGCCGGTGAGGTCCGAGAATTTCGCAGCAGGTGACTTGAGGCCTGCCAATAATATGCACCACCCACTCTATGTAAAGAGCATGCAGAAAATAGCAGCAGCCAAGTAGATGGGAGCAGTAGCCTTACGCGTCTGGACGGCGATTACGTTGCTACTTGGAACACCAATTAATTCTGCTGGTGGTGCGGATGATCACTTTACTTGCTGAGAAGAGATGATGTTTGTAGCGACAGTAGTCGTGGTCGCTCCATCGTCCATTCATTCACTGATCATTCCGTCAATCAGTCAATGCATCGGCTGGGTGTTGCGAGCGGGAACGGGAGGTGTGGCTGTGTGGCTTGTGTGAAGCCCCAACCCAGCAGTGCACACAACAACGCGCACAGGCCTTGTAAGAGGACCTCGATGAAGTGGAAAGCGGGAGCTTGCTGCGGTACGTATCAGCGGGTCAACCTGGAGACCTGGTGGGTGTGCTGCTCCCATGGTGGAGGGGGCGTGCGCCTGGGATCAACCAGGGTCTGATGTCGACACCGAGGGGCCTGAAGCGCACGCAGATGGCTCTTGTTATAAGACTTGCGATCTGCTTGTGCCCAGGTAACCGCATCTTTGCAACTGCCTCAGTCCAAGCACAACATCCACCAAGCGCCGCATACTGGAGACTGCCTCTGTGCAACCGAATTTCTCTGATTCCGCCCTCGATCTCGCCTGTGCTCCTTTTTTCCACTTGAGCTCCAGGCTGCCTCGCACAACCACTGCCGGACGGGTACCACCACCCCTGCCATTAAGCTTGGAGCTAGAGGTCCTCGCGAACCAGCCCACAGCCTTCCCGTCGACTCTGCCTCCTCGCAAACCCACTTCACCTGCCAGGGCATATAATATCTTGCCCTTCCCCTCATACCTCTTCCTCTCCTGCTCATAAACACTACCATCCATACTACATTATACATTGGTGCCATCACCAATCTTGCCTACTGCCTCCAGTGTCTCGTTGGCTTCTGTCCTCGCAACACTGTCGCCTCACATTCGCATCGTCGTTGCATCTCAGCCAGAGAGCATAGACTCTCCTACAAGACCAAGGGTGCAGACACCTTCTCTCCCTCCCATTATTATCCAGAACGAGGGA